ATCACATCCATAAATAAGTAAGAAGGTTCTCATGTGAGTAGCCCTGAGTCGAGGTCCAATCATTTCATTGAGCGTTGTATTTCATGCTTAATTTTTGCTTGGCTTTGACCTGCACTCCGAGTCATGGTCCAAGAGCTTCATTTAGCGCTGTCTTTCACGCTCAACTTTTGTGGGGTGCTTACCTGCTGTCCGGGTGCAATCGCCGAGCTTTTCTTTTTTATGTTAATATCTTTGTTACGCAGGGGTGATGCTAATCTCCAATCACTTCATTGAACACTGTATTTCATTCTTAATTTTTGTGGGCTGCACCGGGACACTTTTTTCTCTCCTTTCTTTCATCCCTTTTTCAAAAAAGGGACATGCCACATGGCCTTTAGATAATGGTTACGCAGGACACCGGACACCGGACACCGGATCCCGGACCAATCCAGACGTCTGGCGGCTCTGGCCAGACCTCTGTCTAGACTGCTCCTTGGATTAGGCTTTGAATTTCGACATGATCCTCGATTTTGTATTGCAATGCTGCACAACGTTTTTTTATTTAGATTTTCTTTTTTCTTTAGTCGGAATTTTTCTTTTTCTTAGGTTGGGGGGCAGATGGTAAACTATAACCATGCTTTAGATATTATTATCATTGAGCTGTCGGGTCCCTGGTAATTTCAAATTTTATTCTGTTGATCTGATTGCATCTGGATGCGAACTGGGGTCTGTATTTCAACACTCCAGAGATGACACACATAAATCGAAGCGCTTCACTTAGCACTGTATTTCACTCTCACTCTTCATTTTTGTGCCATTTGTGGAGCAGCGGAGCGCTAACCTGCAGTTGGGGTCCAATCGCCAGGCTTTTCTTTTTCATGTTAATATTCTTCTTACGCAGAGGTCGTGCTAATCTTCTCTGTAGCAGGGGTCCAATCACTTCATTGAGCTCTGTATTTCAAATCAAGCTCTGTATTTCATGCTTAATTTTTTTGGGGCACTTAACCATGCCCCGAGTTGGGGTTCAAGTGCTTCATTTAGTGCTGTATTTCATGCTTCATTTTTGTGCGTGCCATCCTGCAGTCGAGGTCCAATTGCCAGTTTTTTTTTCCTTTTTTTACCTTTCTCCTGGGTCATGTTAATCTTTTCTCAGTCTCTATATCGTTATGATTTTAGCAGACGTCTTGAAAGACCAATCACCAGATTTTGCGCTGTGTTCCATGCTTAAGTTTTGCAGGGCACTTACCAGTGCTCAGAATTATCCTTCCTTTTGATTGCATCAATTGAGTGTGTTTATGGTGTTCTAATCTGCTTTCAAGCTTGACAGGGAATTCCGAAATTGTCATTGGCAATTTTGAATTTTCCTAGGCTGGTCCCCGGGCCGCCGGCGGCCTGGCCGTCGCCCTGGGGGGGGTGCCAGACCGCCTGGCCGGTTGCCGCGCCCGTTTGGCCACCGGGCACCCCCAGCGCATCACTGTAGGGTAGTGTGTGTTTTTTTTTTTCGGCACTGGGGCCCTTTTTGCCCCCTTCATAGACCGTGTGGACCGGGAAAAAAAAAAAACGGGGCCGGTAGGCCTGATTTCACCGATTTGAAATCGGGCCCCATCTGGATCGTCGATCTTGAAGATCGACAGCCCAGATTGCACCGATTTCAAATCGGTGGGGGCGGGAACTACCGGCCCCCGTTCCCTCCCCCATGCTGAAGATGTGCCCCGACGTCCCCCCTTCCCTGCCTTGCACCACTGTGTGTCCGCCGGCACGACGCGCAACTTCAACGCAATTCTTCGACGCACCCCGCCAGCACCTGCCAACGCCCGCCATCGCAAGTCACCCCGCCGTCGCCCCCCAACGGCCGCCTCAACAAGGTAAGGGACTTAGTTTGGGGGGGAGAGAGAGAGAGAGAGAGAGAGAGAGAGAGAGAGAGAGAGAGAGAGAGAGAGAGAGAGAGAGTTCTTCTTCTTCTTCTCCGTCGTCTTCGTTTCTTCTTCTTCTTCTTCTTCTTCTTCTTCTTCTTCTTCTTCGCTTCAACTTCGCCGCTTCTTCGTCTTCTTCTTTGCCCCCGTTTCGAGACCCCCTTCCCGCCGTCCTCCACCAGCCGTCTTCTTCTTCTTCTCCCCCCTCGCTGCTTCAACTTCTTCTTCGGCTCCTTCTTCTTCTTCTTCTTCCCTCCCTCCTCCTCCTCCTCCTCCTTCGCTTCTTCTTCTTCTCCTCCTCCTTAGCTTCTTCTTCTTCCCTTCTTCTTCTTCACTTCTTCTTCTTCTTCTTCTCCCCCTCCTTCCCTTCTTCTTCTTCCCTTCTTCTTCTTCCCTTCTTCTTCCCTTCTTCTTCTTCTTCTCGCCCCTTCTTCTTCTTCTTCTTCTCCCCCTCCTTCTCTTCTTCTTCCCTTCTTCTTCTTCCCTTCTTCTTCTTC